AGAAGCAATCGAGGCCAGATGAAATCGACTGAGTAAAGTTGACGACAATCATCCTGCTTGTTATTCGAGGTGTACCGAACCGATCAAAAAGTGTCGCCGAGCTTGTAAGGCACTACTGTTCGCACCACCTATATATAATCTATAACTTTATTTTCGGCGGCCAAATTTGAAAAAGTAAAAAATGTTCATTGCGAGGTCCGCAACCATAAGCGCCTTTCCAACGCTCCCGTCGCACTTTACATATCCGTTACGTCTTTTGCACGTCTCAACACCAACTGACGTACTAATCAGTCAACAGTCACCTACACTCCGCGCCTGAAAATAAGGCTACGGCATGTGCAGGTGATGAGGGCCACTGCTGCGCCCGCAGTGTCATCCAAATTCAATGTGATTTGCCAGCCGAACAAGGCTTTAACAAAAAATTACTACCGCGGCCGGCTATCACATCATTTTAACCTAGGTTTGATTGATAACTGCTTCTCCCCATCAAAATGGTGTCAAGACAATCTGTAACGGGGTAGAGCCTGGTTACATAAAAAATTCATACTTTTGCATAATAAATTTTTGAACATTATCTATTTTAATAATGTTCGATTGAGATTACTCGTAAGGAGTAAGGTTGAAGGGCTAATACCCCCCAAGGGTAATATTTCTCTGATGGGATGCTCCACCTGATGGTTGACGTTCACGGTACATCAACCAATTAACATCCAATCGCCGCTGGACGCGCGCAATGGGTGGTGATCAAGAAACCCACATAGGAGATTGTAGTTTAATATAGATAGATGAAGACAAAAGATGATGCAGTAAGAAGCTTAGCTATATTGAATACAGTTCTACTTTTTCCGTAGAAAGCGTTGGATTTCTATCTACTTCGCTGCGCTTCCTCGTCACGTGTACGTGACGTCGGGCGCACGCAATATTGTGCTGAAATGACACAAGGGCTGCCCCGTTGCAACGGGTACTTTTTCTCCTTTAATATATTCGTCAACGTTAAGTTGGACGACTAGGGGTGACCAAAAAATAAGAATCGCGAGACGGATAGCTTAGCTCTAGTCGCACTGTCTATGCGAAAGAGTATCTAAACCTTATGCTATCAATCAAATAACTTCCTTTTCAATTGCAATCTCTTGTGTGCGTGGTCCTTCATGCGTGTATCGCAGTCTCAGCTTCTCCAGTGACTTGATTCCAAAGGGTTTGTATCGTCGCTGGGCAATAGACTAGTCATGTCGGGACTACCGAAACGGTCCATCGATGCCTTCTTAAATGGGGTGTGCGACCATTTTCTTGGTCGTCGGACTCGACTCGGTGACACCTCTGCAGTTAAAGATGTTGGTGTCGAATACCCTTCGTGACTAACATCAAGTGATTTCAATGCGCGTCGTGGAGCTGAAGGCTCGGAGGGAATTAATGTTCCATGCGAGATGCCATGCTGACGTATAACTATGTTATATACACACTTCAATTTTGAAGCTGCTGCACGACTCGAATCTGGAGTGATGATGACGCGTAGCTGAGTCAGTCATATGAATGAAACGGCTCCATCGACGCCCCATACCACTCCGAGCATTTTTTGATCAACCACATTCACTTATCCACTCATTATACGTCATGTGTAAAGATGATCTATAGGTTTTTTGCCACCCGCCTTACAAATTGTCGTTTGATGAAGTACGAGGAACGTCCTATTGTACCTGAATGGTTTGATATATCTTACATATTAGGGGCAGAACCTACAGTTGCATAACAGGTTCATAGGACCCAGAAATTTAATTCATCTGGAAGTGAAGCGAATTTTGCGCCATGGGAAACTTGAGGCTTCGATTACCCACGGCTTTAAATTAATTTTCGTTCTTCATCTCTGTTGGCTTTGATCTCAAGTTCTACTTAGTCGACCGCCATGTGCCTTACGTGTCCTTCTGGGAATTTACGCGAGCACCTGCGAGAAGGCGGTTATTTCTTGACGTCCCAACGTTTTCGATAGAGGCGTCTATCTACACCATCAACGTCCATTGCACTGTTTTACAAAGCGATCGTACAACACGGTGCATTCATTGTAGGAGGCCTGCGCGGACGGATGATATGTCCGCTCTCACAACGGTAGCAGAGTACCATAGTCTACCGGTAAAGTTTGCGGCGATCGATCCGACACGCTACTGCACATGAGCCAATGTTGAAAAGGTCTGGCCACGATCGGCACTAGCGTCGTACACGAACAAGGAAACAACAAGATACGGGTGAATGCAAAATTTATTATAGAAAGAAAAACGGAGTAAAGAAGAAACATTGCTTTCGATGCAGGGACGCTGTAGCTAGCCAAATCATGTCACAGCAGGTGTCAGTTGTTGTTTTTTAACTCTTTCATTACCTCCTTCCACGTGTCGTACTCCTCTTTGTGCTCCTTGAGGTAACTGGCGCGCAAATCCTTGCCTTTTTTCGACCAATATTTTGGCTCCTTCTCATACAAGTGGGTCACACCACCAATTGTTTCAAGGTTCATGAAAAATTGGTGTTCGACCGCCTCAATCACCTCTTCATTAATCGCCGGCAACTTACGCGCCATTTGAAAGATGGCTACTTGTTCCCAAGAGGAGCCATACTCTTTTACTAATGTTTTCAGGGCCTCAGCCTTTTGCTCTGTCGACATGCCGGCGGAGAATACTAGACCTCCAAGCTTCTTGAACATGCCGGTGAGCTCCTCGTCTCTGTGTTCGCTGATCTTTCGAAGGCGAGTACTAAAATCGGGGGTTTTACTCAAGGTTTCGAGAAACAAGTTGTCTCCGATGGCGTTCCACCACCGCTTCGCCACCTCTTCTACGCTCGGATAGCTTGTCTCCACCACCTCGTTCACGCGCGTATATCCACTGACACTCGAAGGTAGAAGTGGTTCGATCAGACTAGCGAATGGCTGTCTCTCCTCTCGATCGACGTCGGCAGCGTACGGTCTCAGTCGATGCTTGGGCTCGTCGACCTCGTGCGCGGCGCCGAGTGCGACGGTCTTTGTTTGGCCGATACCTGAAGCGAGGTCAGCATTGTCGAGCAGCACATAGGAGATCAGGACCGCACGGAGATATGAGAAGCGCATAGCAGGATGTCGGAGGTGAAGGGGTGAAGGAGGGGGACTCTTGGCGGTGACCGGCAGATTGAATAATGAACAAACGATGGGAGTGAAGGCCGACCACTTGACCAAGCAGAGGCATTTCGCTTCGAAGCGAAATGAGTGGCAGCGGCCACCCGACCAGGTGAAGACGCTCTGTTGTGTGGCTGCAGGATCGACTTTCCGTCGGCAGACGACGGCCAGACGGCGTTCAGACCAGTTGGTGTCATCATGGTAAACCGTGTCACAGCATCCGAATCAGCATGATTGGTAAATGTCGCGGGAGAGTAAAGCCGCTGCGGAACACCTGTGCGGTGGCTGCCACTGTGCAGCTCCTGCATTTACATATTCGGACGAGAAATGCCGAGGCAGCGGTTCTTGTGCGACCGTGCATCAACGACGGTAGCTCGTCTTTGCAATCCATCACATCGCACAGTCGTTTCGGGCACATGCAGTCCAATGCTTGGATTACGCTTTAACGGCCGACAGGCACGGCATAAAGCCAAGTATTGCGATTCGCGTTGCGCGCGCGCTGTAGGACGTCTCACGACGACAGCTTGTCTCAGAACCTCTGAGTTTTGAGACTTCTTCTAGGTATGGAGACCTTATCTAGTATCGGGTGGGCGCCGACGCACGAACGAACTGGTCAAGAACAGACGATCCGTCGGGCTAATTGTAGGAGCCCCTCTGTTCCCACGCTTCATACATTCCAGCGCACTAGTGCCGTCTCGATCAAGCATCAAAGACCAGTGCGTGAGCCACTATCGATGTCATGTCACTCTGGCCAAGAGAAAGCCTCCTGCGGGTTCGATGTGTAAAGCTACTGCAATTGTAAACGCACACCCTGTGCGTCGGGAGTAAACCAGCAGCAATCACAGGTGTGCGACAGCTGGACTTATCGCATGTGCAAGTTGCAGACTGACCCTTGTCCAGCAACGAGAGCGACATCCAACCACAAACCACACAGTAGCAAAATTGTTGGAAATAAAATGGCCCGACAAAGAGATAGTGCACTGCGAAAATTCCCTGGGAACGGTCGCGGAAGACACCAGCGATAGGGTCACTGTCGATGCGGGCTGTCGCACCTTCCGCAAGGCGCACGACTGCATGGATTAGTTCTTCATGTCACCTGCGACCTTGCGACCTTGCGACCTTCAAGTGATCCAGCGACCAGGGTACGACTTAACGAAGCAGTACGAATCGAGAAACCATACCGTTTAGGAAGGAGTGTGTCAAAAACGAAGCCAGCAGCAGGGAATTTGTGCTGCCATTTTGTGACAGCAGGAACCAAATGAATGTTGCACCTACAGAGTATTTCAGGTGGTAGGCTATAGGCAAATGCAGCGTACAATGTCCGACGCCATGTCAACTACAGTGTGTGCATCTTGAACGGTAGAAATCGCCCAGTTTGCGCCTTCGGGCAGTGACGTCCAGGCAACGAAGACCTCTTACAAAGCCGGACAACCGCCCCCCCTTCTCTGTGCGGGAAGTCATCAACAGTTGGGTCCAGGTGTAAACGGGGAGGCCATAATCCGCTGCGCGTGCTACGGGAGGCAACGCAGTGTGCGACCCAAGAGGGATGCAATCCCCCGGTATCCCGCGGCACGGGAAATGCCGACAAAGATCGATATCCCCGTGCCTTCGTTAGTTCCTGCTCTGTACGAAAGACCCCCTCGCGCCGACTCGTTCGCTGCGCGCGATACCCACTCCCACGAAGTGAACCTTCCTAAGACCTGTTGAGATCCAGTACCGGTCGTTTGTGGAGAGCAAGCACCAGGCCACGGTACTCTTCGTCTCGTCGTGCGCCTGGCCACGTCTGCACTAGATTGTACAATGGGATTGGCTCGAAGATCGGAGCAAGTTGATCACCACGGAAGCGGCCAGGGATTACGTCAAGATGGCACGCTAGGACTTCCCAAGTGGAACAGGCCTCCTAGCCATGCGTCCTCTGTCCCCTGAAGCAGATGAAGCGCGAAGCGACGCGTAGTTCAGCCATCCGGCCAAGAGTGCGCACAAAGTTCTGACCCCGGACTTGGTCAACAGTCATTTCCACGTGCCCTTTTGAGGGTGTCCCCCGTAACGTCTGGAGTTTTTTGCCAGCAGAATGAGAAACGTGGAAGGAGAAAGCTCGTGTCATGGTAGATGACGGGTAAGTAGCTCTAATAGACGATCTGGCCTCTCTCTCATATCTTCCAACATCAAGCGTCGAAGAATGCTGGATCACGGCATTTACCGGCATTCGACTCCGAGCTCATCTGCCGAGCCCAGTCGCGCCGTCCTGTCGACGTGCTCGTAACCACTGCTGCGTGGGCGTCAGAGCCGTTTCCATCTCGAGTGTTCATGGCTACGTGACCTTGTTTTCCTCGACAAATACTGCCAACAGACTGGTGCTGACTCATTCTCGCTCCAACTGAACAACAAATCTGCACCGGTCTGGTGACGAAAGAGTATTCAGCAGCAAGCTCCTTCTTTTAGAAGCTAACAAGCCTCAACGTTTCGTCAAGTCTCGTATGGTCAATAGCCCCATGTCCACGATAGTCTTATTGGTCTAGTGCTGAAGCCCAGTAGTCCGTAGAACTCGAACACCGCCTTATTTACAATCTTGCATGACTAAGTAGGCCACCAATGGCGCTAGATGGGTTCATGTCAGTCCCCGACTCGAGATCGGATCGAAAAATGCCGTGTTGTCGAGAGCGCAAGATTCGCAAGCCGTCGTGTGCATGTGTCGTGGATATCAAATGGGGAAGGCAAATCCTCACTACCAAATGTGACTGCCGATTGAGGCGTGAAGGAGACGTGCAATTGGCAATGAGCTCGGGACGTGCGCGCCCAATCTAAAGATGACGAATTTACGCGCGAGAACCTTTTACTAGTCACTGATTGCGGTGCGTGATGATGATCGAATGCATACGATCGCGTCAAGCGCACTCGTTGACGGACATTGTCAGACATTCTTCACTGGGCTTGAGCGTTCGAGATTTACTGCGCTTCCACGAGGCGGCAAGATGTATCCAGATCGACGAGTGTGGCGTGTCTTCTTAATACTGCTTTCCTTGCAAGTAAGAGGCTTGTAACACACCAACTAGCCGCCAGTATGAACAATGATCACTCTTTTTGCTCATTCGCACAAATGACGCACCCGGTAAGTAGCATTTCTGGACACAAACCGTTTCGAGCTCTCGCGCCACTTAATTCCCTTTGCAAGCCAACGACCGAGGACAAGACGATCTGCAAAAACGCACGGCATCGTCGTATTCCGCTGTGGTGAGTCGCCCGTACTCGTTCACATGCACTCCAATCACGTCCAAACACGTCCGGAAAAAATGCCAACCGCAAGTGGGGTATTGTAAGCCAGGCGTTCGCAAAGTCACCGACTTAAGGCAGACAGTGGAAGACGCGGAGGCTGCTAAACAATCTGCGATCCCTTCGACGTCGTCGCGCCATCTGCTTTGTCCACGGAGTTGCTGATGCCGCTCACGACTTGTCTGTTTGGCAAAGGCACGCAAATGTCTGTGTGACCGCTATGGCTCTCAAACATACTTGACGGTTAGAATTGTGAACGGATTGCCAAATCCAAAGAGGCACGCATCACCAAAACGGGCGCGCCGACTTCATTAACAATCCAGCCGGTTTGATTTCATAATGGACGCATGACCTCCTTGTTGAAACAATCGTTCCATTCCGCTACAATGCCACTCATTGCCCAGCTGTTGCCAAATCAGCTGTCGATTAGTTTGTAAGCCTCCAGTCGGCTAGCTCGATTTAATGCGAGGCTTAAGGGCCTTTTCGTGCAAGCGACTACAACGTGGGAACAAGTAATTCAATCAAGAACTAAGCTGCTGTTGCTGCCGCCAACGTTCGAATGTGAACTGATGGCTTTTCACTTCAAACACTTGCTTCCTGCTCAAAGAGCTGCTTTTGGACTAGTCCATGGGTCGATGTTGGATCCGTGCCACATATTGTGCCATGTCGGAGTAGACAGAAAAGTCACATTCGAGAATAGATTTGTACTGCTCGATGACATGACGTGAGCAAATAACTGCAGAATTCGCATCGGGACAGTCGCCATGAGAGGTGCCTCGTTCCCCAGTATTCGCATCGCACTCAATACGATACAGTGATACAGCGATGTCTCACTCGATGTCGGCGCCGAAATACATGAAGCATTTCGGCGACACAGTTCTCTTTCGCATCAGCAAATTCTGACTTGCTAGAGTATAAGCTAGCGTTCGAATGTTGTTTACAGAGCCTTGGGTAAGAAGTAGGAGCCCTCGCTATGATCTATAATGACACACGAATAACGATGCGTTCCTTCGTTTAGGTGGTCATGAAGAATAATACCGATAGCATGTAGATTCTTTTAGTACGCATTTAGTTACAGACGCCATAAAGGCTCCCGAAGAATTCTCGGTGTCATCATTCCAACCGTCGGTTTTAACAACCTATTTGCTGTAGTTTAGTGCGCTGAGGCTCCGATGAAAATGTTTCCAGAACCACCACGAGACCGTACCTGGCAGGCGATAAAATGGCAGTCGCGTTATCATTTTTTGTACCCATGATTCTAACACGATTTATACATATGGCTTCGCCGTCGGGACTCATTGTGGCCTCATCAGCTTATGATGTACAATGCCGGATATGCAGCAGTGAGGGGTATGACAAAACGTTGTTGGAACGTAATGATTTTCAGAGTTAGTCATTCCTGTCCGACACTTGAGCCTTAAAACTTGTGCATGTCAATTTCGCCAGCACCTGGTGACTGGATATGAAGAAGGAAAAAGGTTCAAACTACGAATGAGGATTCTGCGGGTCGATCGATGCGATGATCTGGAAAGGGGGATGGGCCATTGTAATTTTCCATGTGTCCAGTCGTCCGCAGAATGGTTGCACCAATTACAAAATGAAGATTTGATTTGCTCATTACTTTGCAGAAATACAGTATCACTAATTTCTTTTAGCAAGAGGTCGTCACAGAAAGTTATAATAAA